AAAGTTACAAATCCAAATTAAACAAAGTGCAAATTACTGGAAAAAAATGGTTTCTAAAAAAAAATTGCGAAAAACAACAATAACCAAAAGCAATGGTGACGTCGTCGGTTCTGCTGCGCTGCTGGTCGCGGCGGGGCGGTTGCTATCGACTTTCAATGGGCGATATCGCCGTTGCTGACCGCGCAACGATGTATGTATGTACGTCGCTGGTGCTGGCGAATGTTCGCTCACTGCAATTCAGCCCACTCTCCCCAGTTCAGCTTACTTGTTCCAGGTGAGTTCTAGTCTGCTCTTCACTTTTTCAGCTTCCCTCACTCTATGTACATCCAGCTTCCAAGTGTTCGAATTTTGTGCAGCGGCCGTTGACCCGCTCCCACCCCTATTCTATTGTTCTTTTTGCCCTTTTTTTCCTGTATTTTGTAGCTTGCGGATGTGATGGCGAAGTATCTCCTTACGTATGTGTATGTATGTAGGTGTGGGTATTTATATCTGTACTCCCTTGTAAATACTTGTTGTTTTCCCAGCAAATGTTGCATGTACATATGGATGTGTGGAGTACTTCGCTAAATTCTTCGACGTTATCGTCGTAGCTATCGGTGCCTCTTGCTCGCGGTGTGGCAAGTAGTGCTCGTGGATGTGCTATGTGTCGGGGGCACTTAAGTATTTGAATACTTTTTCTACTGAGGTCCTTTTGCACGTCCGTACCGGCGACCTGGAAGATATTAAAGAAGTCTTAAGTACATTTGTCATTGCTAAATTTTTTTTAGGCACTTTTCTTAGCATTAATCTCCATCTGCACTGGCCTTGCTATGCATACATATGTACATATGTATATACTTTTGTATACACAGTTCGGTGCGTACATACCCTGCAGGGAAACCGCTTACTAGTGAATCAAATTTCTAGTTCCGTACTAGGTCTTTGTCACCAAAAAGGAACTAGTCCGATATGAACTAGATCTCCTCCAGTCCGAAATCGGCGAAAAGTGGTACTTTTAAAATACTAATTTTTTCAGTTTTTTTCACTAGAAATCGATATCTAAAGTGACGAATTTAGAAATGGTTCGGAACTATAGAAAAAGGGATGCAGAACGGACTAGATCTTCTTAGTCGAATTTAGAACAAGTTCGGAACTATCGAATAAGGGATGCAGCGGGGGCTTGTTTACTTTACATAGATATGTTTTCGGCGGCTTTTTCGTTCAAATACGCTTCTATTCTGCGCTTCGCAGATGCTTTTTCATAGCTCGCAAATACAAAACTAAAGTTTGTGTTAACATTGCAACATATTGCGACCGTCTGGAATCTAAGAAATAACTGCGAGCACCTCTGCAAACTCAGCTACAGCTAAAGGTATGTAAACGTACATTTCTTACAATCATTCATACAAATTTAATTTCAAATTGAAAACACGTTCCTTACAAAATAACTTAAAATCGCACACACGGAAGAACCAAAAAGATTGAAAAATCATGATACTTTTTTCTTTCGTCTGTCGATTTTAGAACTGGTTCGGAACTATAGAATTTAGGACTAGTTCGGAACTATCGAAAAAGGGATGCAGCGGGGGGCAATTGACACTTCCTAGGACATCGCCATGTTAAATTCGCCAGTTGCTTGCATGCAAAAGAGATTTATCGCGAACCAGTACTGGGTCTAAATGTACTAGAAGCGCACCAGTTCAGAACTAGAGATTTTCCCCGCAGTGTACATTAGAACTTATATGCACATGTGTATGTACATGCATATGAAAATTCACACTAAGTCCCCTATGTTTAAAATAATTTCAATGTGGCTATCATCAAAACCTACCTCAAATTCCAAATACTTTTAGCCTAACAATTCAATTATAACCCGTTTAATTGACGGTATCCAAACATCACGGAACCTAAAAAACC